GCATGTTCAAAACTGAGAGAATATCAGGACATGTTTAATCATAATAATTTTTCCCCCAAAGGATAAGAGGCGTACCTTCTAGCCCGCCAATTTCTTTTGAATTTTTTCCATCATGGGATCAAACATGTGTTTCGTTAATCTCCCCGTATAAAGAGGCACTCCCAAATATGTACAAGGCCAAGCCCCTTCTTTAAACCTCGAAGAGGCCAGGATATTTCTTTTCCGAGCAACAGAGGTGTGTTTAGAGAAGAATATAGAGGATTTTGTAGAATTTATAAGTTGTCCAGACTTCACCTCATAAGCTTTAACAACATTACACAAATGACCCGTCGATTATTTATTTCCATTTGAGAAAATAAGCAAATCATCAGCGTAGAATAAATGACTTGCCACCATACCATCAGATTAAAAAGGATGAATTAGTTTTGTGTCTATGGCTTGGTTGATCATTCTAGATAGAAGTTCTTGTGCCACAATAAACAGATACGGAGATAAAGGATCCCCTTGGCGAAGCCCCCTAGAAGGCTTAAAGAAACCTCGTGTTGTGCCGTTAAGCATAATGGAATAGCATAAAGAGGATATGCAGTTGAAAACTAAATTCCTCCACTGATTGGAGAAGCCGAGCTTTCTTAAGCACGTCAAAAGAAATTGCCAATTTACCCTATCATATGCTTTGGCCATATCTATCTTCATAACAATATTTCCACCCCTTACCTTTTTATGGATGTTGTGGTCCATTTCCTGAGCAATAGATATATTATCAAAGATACTTCTGCCGTGAATAAAAGCCGATTGTTCTCTGGAAATAAGTCGGTCTAGAAGTGGGGCTATTTTGGCCACTATAATTTTGATTAAAACCTTGTACACCACGCGCATAAATAATAGGCTTGAAATGAGCAAAGCTATTTGGAGATTCTACCTTTGGAATGAGCAGTATATTGGTTGTGCCTAAGGCCGTCGTAAGAGGTTGTCCCTCAAAGAACTCCTTAGCTACTGCATGGAGATCATCCTTAATAATTTCCCATGCATTGATGAAAAAACTTGCACTAAAACCGTCTGGACTTGGGCTGCTATCCATCGGGACGGACCAAAGGGCCTCTTTCACCTCTTCTAAGGCTGGCGATTTGCACAAGGACTGATTATGATCCTCTATAACCATCGATGTCAACAATTCCAGATCAGGTTCTTCCAAAGTTATAGGTGACACGGTCGTAGCTCCTGGAAAAATTCCATAGCACCCTCGTGCACCTCCTCAGCTAACCTACGTATTGGTTATGACAATCCAAGAGAACCTTTTCCGTTTCCTTTAAGAAATATATTCCATTAAGGAATTTTCCAGATGAACCAGCTTGTCTTCAAAGAAACTTATTTCTTGTTGCACCTGTTCAAAGACCTCCTTATTCCAAGACTTTAGAGTACTCTTCGATTTTCGAAGTTTATGCCCCAGACAGGCCATAGGAGGGGCAGCCACATTGACCTCCCAGATTCGCTTAACCAACGGCAAGAAATCTTTGTGCGAACACCACATACGAAGGAAGCAAAAAAGCCGGGGGCATGACATGTTTGAGCTGTCTTTACATCTTAGTACCATCAGATAGTGATCTGATGATGTCCGATCCAAATATGATAGAGGGGCTGATGGGCACTGATCCTTGAAATTCTAGTTCACCAATATACGGTATAGGCCAGCCCATATACGCCGAGTACCCTGTCTACCATTGCACCATGATAGTTTGGTTCCATCAAAGGGAATATCCATCAGGCCGGTTTCATGAATGAATGAGTTGAACTCCCTTAGAGCTAATGAAGATCGAATCAGACCTCCCAATTTTTCCTCACTGGACCGAACAATGTTAAAATCTCCTCCTACCCGCCAACCCGCATTCCCACAGTCTAATGTTTTCAATTGCTCCCACAAGTCCCTTCTACGTCTCTGACAATAACTGGTGTAAACAAAAGAGGCGAAGACCCGGCTGGAACCCATCGAAAACCATCCAGAAATAGCTTGCTCGATGTATTAATCAACAAAAAATTCAACTCCTTAACCCAGAACATCCAGAGCTTACCTCCTTCCCCCACGTTAGAGATGTAATTCGGAAATCTCATTCATTTAGCCCAATTGGCAATTTTTTCACCAGGAACAAACGGCTCCATAAGAACTAAGATAGAAGGGTTGTAATGTTTTCTAATTTCTGTTAACCTGCGCTTTGAAGATATGACCCCTCTAACATTCCATACAATGATATTCATTAGTAATAAGATTTTTTTGACCTAGTGGTGATACCCAAGGTTACTTTCTTTCAGTTATTTCCCCTCCCCCTCTTCATCGGGTGTGACAAAATGTGATTTGTATCATAGTTAAGAATATTTAACTCAGGCAGCTCGTTATCATACTCATCCTCTGAGTTCGTCTGAAACTTCGACACCTGTCTATCATTCTATAAATCTCACATGTTCAGATTAATTGGGGAAAGAGGTTGATCTCTGATAACTAAGTCTGCTATATTCTCCATGACATCCATTACAAGGATTTCTTGAACAGAATCAGTGTCTCCCCTCAATATTGCTTATTCCACTACAGTGTCATGTAATTCCCTATTAACCTCAATAGCATCTTCAGTTTCTGGATCACCAATACCACCATTTGTCACCGCCTTATAAGTATTATTTCCAACCAAGATTTCTTTTGTAAAATCAGTTCCAGTAGTCTGGGGACTTTCCGTCATAATTTGATCCCCTACATTGTTTAAATTCATAGCAATAAATCCGTCGTTATCTGCGAACAATGTCGAATCCGATGGCATCACAATTTCTCGCTTCCTCAGCCTTTCTTTCTTCTCTTCGTATCCATTGGCCGGTTTATCCATAAGGGTTCCCCCGATTGGTGTCAATTCTTTGTCTGTTTCTTTTCTCCGCCACATTTTCCTCAACGGTTTCATAAAGGTTTCCATTTTATTCATTCCTTCAGATTCCTTCTTCCTATAGCATGTGTTCTCCAAGTGCCCCTGAGCTCTGCACCAGTTACAGAACATAGGAAATTTTTCATATATAACTTGCTGGTGACGGCTAGACGGATAGAACGGAACGCCCAACCAAAAGGATTCAACCGGAGGTTTTGATATGTCCATCTCCACACATACCCGGACTCCATCAGTACGAGAGGCACATGCCGTGAAATTATCCCGCTTCAAAAGACATCCATATGCACTGGTAATGATGTGCAACATGGATTCATGGTAAAAGTGAGGGGGTAAACCTGGGAAGAAAACCCATACCGGAACTAATGGGGACTCCTGGTCCTCATCGAAATCTTGGGACTAGATACACAACCTATATGGCGAGCCATCAATATCTGTGGACTTCCTCGCACATGCAATCCCAAAATCCTTTTCTGATGTGAAACAGATGAATACATTTCGAGGTCGCTGCATGGTGCTAAACACTTCGCTCGAGTTTGGGGGTATTTGATGAGTGCATTCTGTGCACCTATTTAAGTTATTTTACCTGGGTTTCATGCCATCAAATTATTAATTTTTACTTAA